TTATTAGGAACCAAATTGAGACAAAAAATAAAAATAAAACTAAATTAAAACAAATAATTATTATAAGGGACTAAAATAAGTTTTTAGTCTTAAAACTAATAATTCACACATTTTTTTACTATTTCATATTAACATTCTTTTTTATATATTTTTAAGTAAAAATGTTGCGTAGAAAATGATTGATAAATGTATGTTGTAAATAAATACTAGACTGTCCGAACACAGAAAGCGCGAAAAAGAGAAAAATCAAATGAAAAGATTAAACTAAACCCTCCCATTGCTGGGTTTTTCCCTTAGTTAGGGTTTAACTTTCTCTTCTTCTTCGTCTTGCTCGTTCTCTCCTCAAGCAATGTCCGATACAAGTTCCGTCGATGCTTCTCTGTGGTGGGACTCATTCACTGTCCTCCTCACCGAGCTAGAAATTTCCTCTCTGTCCTCAGATCTCCCACCGAATTTGGTACACTTTCAATAATCTATGCGTGCCTTCGTGCGCCTCTGAATTTGTGCACTTACATGAATCCTTTTCATGTTTATTTAGGCGAAGAAGTTGAAGGACAACCATGCCTGGTTCGTGGACTTACTTTCGCGCTTCAAGCCGCCCAATCAGAAATCCAAGCAAGCTTTGAATTCAAAAACGCTGAAAATTGGATCTCACCAGCTCACTATTCAACCTCACCTGAAAGATAAAGCGTTGCAGATTAGCTCCTGCTTGGTCAGTTACTTCCTTGTTTGTGTTTCTGCTCGCTTAATGATCATTACTACAATATAAGTATCATACTATCTTTATGTGATGTTCTGCATGTTTCAATTGCTGAGTGAAATGTTCTGACATTGAAATTTGGAAGTTTATTTGGTGGTTGGAACTTTGGAAGTGATGTTATCTTTGATATGTGCTGCCCATGTGTGGGGACAAGTGTTGTTTTTCATTATCTATTATGAGGAATTTATCTATTAATGTCAGTTATCCTCTATCCAGTGTGTTATGCTGAATTTTGAGAACCTCATGGTGTCTTTCTATTGCCATTCTTGTTTATTTCAGCTGCTAGATGAGGTTCAATCATACATTCTTGTCGAAACGTCCATCAAACATAACAATACTGCTGCTGATTCCACAGCTCCGGAGTTTCTTCACTTGGTCAGTAGCTTAATCCCCTAACTGCTTTCCTGTATAACACTGATGTGGTCAAGTGCTGCTTTTTACAATGGTCATGCTTTGTACATTTTAGAAGGATTTGCTGATCTAATATTCTTTTACTAGCAACTTTCAAATAAAATAACATTAGTGGACTGTGTGAACTGGAGTCATGGTTGATGGATTCTCAAAGATTATTTTTAAATTTTTATGTGACAATCTTTGTTTGGGACTTACAGAGTAGTGGTTGGGAGTTGCGAAGTTCATTATAATAATTTAAGTGGTTTTATACTCGTACACAATGCATTTCAAGCTACATGTTGGACTTCAGTACATAGTTATTGTTAGGATATGGAATAAATGGGATTAGAGTAGTTATTAGTTAGAGGGATATCATGGGCTAGGCCCATCACATCTATAGATAGGAGGTTACTTGGTAGAGAGGAGACATTCAGATCTTTTCATTTGTAAATTGAGCTTGGGCTCTTTGTCAAAGGAGAAATTCTTTGTGGAGGGGAAATCCTTGGAGGAGATATCTTTTCATCGTATTCAATACAATCTTTCTTTTCTTTCTCTTTCCTAATTCTTGGTTCCT